CACTGTCTTCGGCATCGGCCACTTTGTGATCACCTCCACCTTGCCTGGATCTATCCTCCGCTGGCCCTTCCCTACGATGAAGCCGAGATACACCAACTCGTCCTTCCCGAACTCGCACTTTTTCCCGTTGAGCTTCAGCTGTCCGTCCTGCAACACTTCAAATACCTTCTCAACATGAACGAGATACTCCTCCCAAGTCCTGCTGTACACCAAGATATCATCAAGGTAAACTATCACAAAATCCTCTATAAAGGGTCGCAACAAATCATTCATAAGCCTCATAAAGGTAGCCGGAGCATTGCACAATCCAAACGGCATCACCAACCACTCGAACAGGCCTTGCTTGGTCTTGAACGCAGTCTTCCAAGTGTCTTCCTCCCGAATCCTCACCTGATGGTAACCAGACTTCAAATCCAGCTTCGTGAAAAACCTCGCTCCCTCCAACTGGTCCATAAGATCATCGATCCGCGGTAATGGGTAGCGATTCTTGATTGTGATCTTGTTGAGTGCCCGATAATCTACGCACATGCGCCAACCTCCATCCTTTTTGGGCACCAACAACACTGGTGACCCGCAAGGCGAACAACTGAAAAATGAATTGCTCGCCATCCTTGTTGAACGTGTACTTTTGGGCTCGCCGATCATATACTGCGTATCTATCCCACAAATAAGGATTGCCCAAAATAACTTGGCAAACATCCAACGGAACCACGTCGCATGTGACCTCATTAATATACGACTCATGGAGTGCAAATCTGAATGAACATTGGTTCACCACACTTAATCCCGCCTCCTTCTGAATCCACCCTAATGGATAGGGCTTCGGATGCTTCACCGTCTTCAATCCCAGCTTCTGTACTAATGCCTCAGATATCAGATTTTTCTGACTCCCTGGATCTACAATAGCATCCACTAAGCTGGTCTTGACCTGCAATTTCAGAACAAAGAGCTGCTCTCTCGGGTCGTCATCTTCCTTGGTAGCCTGCTTCTCCGCCATAAGGTTGAGACTGCTATTGGGTTCGGTCATCCCGGGAACCTCCTTCGGACCCTGTGCTATTACGTACGCCTTCTTCTCCTCCTTCTTCAACCCTTTTGGCTTCAGATGAGGATACTTATCCCAGCAACGATCGGCCACATGCCCTGTCTGCTTGCAGTGATTGCATGTCAATCCTGCTTTCCCCGAGTCAACCTTCTTCTTCTCATCCTTAGACTGAGAGCCACCCGTCTTGCTCCCCGATGGTTTGGAATCCCCCTTTGTCTCATTGCCCTTCTTCTGCCGGGTAATCATTCAGACCCGCCATGTACTTCATGAAGATGGGGTACTCGGACGTTGCGATGTTTAGGACCATCGCCTGTTGCTGGAACTCCGTTGTGTACTCTTAAACGATCTGATTAAATTTCTGGCGTAAGCCGTACCACTTGTACCAACGCTCCTCAAGGAACCCCACTGGATAGAACTGTTTCCGTAGTAGCTCCTTGAACTTGTTCCACGACGCCGCTTTCTTCTCCTGTTTGCAATAGGATTTCCACCACGTCAAAGCGTGCCCGGAAAGCTTCAATGTCGCGAACACTATCTTCTCCTTGGACGAATATCCGTAGAGAGTGAAGTACATCTCCATACGTTCGATCCAATCATCAAGCTTCTCCACGTTGATACTCCCATCATAAACAGGAATCTCAACCTTGAAGTCAATCTTCAGATTTTGGTAGTTGTTCTTACCCCCTTGATGTCCAACGGTCTTGACAATCTCAGTCTCCCCCTCTGAATCAGATTCCTCATGCTCTTCGTCGGATTCGACGAGTTTCTTCTTACCCTTCGAAGAAGATTCCTTCTTTTTGTCACCTCCGTTGATTAGACCCACGAGTTGAGTAAGAGTCGTCCCGATCGTCTTAATCTGCTTCTCCATGGCATCAAGTCTCGCTGAATTATCTGCTTCAGTCATCTTCTCCCTCCTTAATTTCTGGACTCCTTCCAAAGAAATAAGGATCTCGCCAAGCTTCTTGTACTGTGAGCGAGTAAGGACCATACACAGGTTCCCCCTTCACAGGATCTAGGTGCTCTGATACCAACTTGATACGAGTTGCCGAGAAAACGACAGAAGAACACAAGAGTTGAATTACGGCGAAGGAAAATACCTTCTCTAGATTATGAGAAGCAATTGGATTTTTACAAATCTCTCTCTCACAATCTCTCTAGATCAAAGAACAACCTCTCTGATCTCTTTTCTGATTACAAACTGAGTTCCAAACCCTAGAAAAGTCATGTTTCTATTTATACTAAACAGAAATCCCAACTGGAGCAGGAAACAGACCCAGGCCCGTAACCGCTACGCGGTCGACCGCAGTGCCTAAGGCGGTCGACCGCAGTGCCCAAGGCGGTCGACCGGTCACAACGTCGAAATCTGGGAAATCGATTACAGGGTTTTCCGGTCGACCGCAGCGCCACCTTCGGTCGACCGCTCTCAGTCCTGAGACATAGTCTGGGTCTGTGCACTAAGCGGTCGACCGCCGCGACCAAGCCGGTCGACCGGCCAGAGCCCAACTGTAATTCCTGCAGTTTTGACGAATCCTTCGACTTCGTTGCTTCCAATGGCCTCTTCCATGACTCCTCTACTCTATTCTCAAGATACCATGAGAATCATCTATCCTCAAGCTCCCATGAGGATCGCTAAGCTCCCGAAGAGAAGATACACCCGTATCATGTTATTTAAATAATTGGGCCGAAAAGAACGAAATTGAGAAAACCATGGTATAGCTAAGGGTGCTAAACCATATCCGTATCCGAGAAAATATCCGTAATCGTATCTGTTAGAATATGGATATAGTTCCTCAAATTTATAACTAATAAGATATAGTTATGGATATGGTTTTGTAGTGAAATATCCAAATCAGTATTCGAAATATCTGAATACATATTGGTTATATTGTTTCAATAGTTTTAATGCTTAGATTAATGGATTTGAGGTTATTTTGATGATCAAGATGTCTAATCTTAGTTTTTTAGATATAACAAACATATTAATGAACTCTTTTGTATCACATGAACTATATTTCTCATATTTGTTTTGTATCCACATGCACATTCGCTTATATATCCGCATGTATATATGTATCTGTATCCGACTTTGAATATGAATTTTTCTTACCGAGTTATCCGTGATGAGTAAGCGAATACAGAGCATATCTAATGCATTATAAGATATCAATAATCAACATATAGAATCATCTCTAAACTAGTAGACGTGATCTAACACAACAAAATACAGAGCATATCCAATGCAAAGATATTATGCATGTGATCTTCACTTAATCAAGTGAGCTTAGGTATAGCTCAATGCAGATGTCTTTTTTCTTGAGAGACTTCTAGACTACGTTCATAGGATAACCATACCTGAATTAGGGGAGAGATCCTCACTTATCACCTTGCTACTAAGTCTAAAAAAGGAATAGAGGAAAGGAGGAGGAGATAGTTATATTTGAGGAATATAATAAGCAACAGGAGAACTTCCTCTTAATGAATATACATACATACTTTTGCTTGGTAATGAGGTTGTTTATTTTCATCCACTCATTCAAATTGGGGACCACGTTCCTATGGGTATGAGACACCTTACTACCAGATACAAAATTTATGCTTGGTACTAAGTTCCTACAATATATATATATATATATATAATATATATATATATTATATATATAGATTATATACATATATAGAGAGAGAGAGAGAGAGAGAATAATGGTATCATTTCATAGGAGGGATTTCTCCTTGACCGCCTCGAAAATCACAAATTGAGCGACAATTATGGATATCGCTTCCTTGCGTTAAACGATCTAGCATATTCTAAAAACCCCAACGACATAAAGTTGGTGTGACCCGTCGTCGTGTTACCTTCCATTCCACTCATTATCATTTTAAACGTTTGAATGAATAAACTTTCACAGGCTGGATGGAGGTCAAACGACGACGGATTCACCGCCAAACTGGTGTGTTGGGGTTTAGAAATTGTAGATCAAGTTCAACGGATCGGCGGATCATGGCCACACATTCGTTCAATCATGTGTTTTGAGAGGGTCAAGGAGAAATCCCTCCTATGACAAGGAATAACCATTAATCTCAATATATAATATATATATTACTATACTATATAGTATATATATTATATATATATATATATATATATATATATATATATGCAAAATTGTTTGCCACCTTATACTCAATCTAAGGAAGCACATCTTAATGTATAGACTATTACAATCGATGATCTACTCCATTCATTGTGTTCTAAATGACTCAACACATCTACAAAATGAAAATCATGATGTTTTAATACTTCCAACACATAGTTTTCATTGTCTCATTAGTTATATTGTTATAAATCCGTTAATTTTACCATCATTTGATGCATGAATAACTATAAACCAATATGCCCAATTTTTTGTTTATATACAATCCAAAATATATAAATCAAAATGAACGTAGTGGACGCAAGTTTTTGTGTTTGGTAGTGAGCTGGCAAATTTCCCTCCACTCATTGAATTCGGGGCCTACATTCACATGGGTTGGGGAGTGGTTGTGAATTAGAATGAGTGGATGAGAATATGACACCTCACTACCAAGCACAAAATTTGTGCTTGGTACCAAGCATACCCATTTCTCTCTCTCTCTCTCTCTCTATATATATATATATATATATATATATATATGTTTTTACATACATATATATATACATATATATATATATAGAGAGAGAGAGAATAAGACTCCTATCAACTTAAGTTGATGTCCACCAAACTTTCTAACCACTCATTTATTAATATAAAAATCTTTTCATATCATTCAAGGATCCCTAAGCAATATGAATGACTAAAAAGTTTGGTGGATAACTTTTTGCTATCTATTTAAGTTGACACAAGTTTTGCTCTATATATAGTAAGCATTTAGTGTTTTGCATTTATACAACCGTTTCTGAATATTTTTGTCAACTGTTATGCAGGACCGACCTTCAACTAAGGTGCATAATGCCCCTGGAGGTGGTTCCTCCCTTGGGTACCTCTTTGGAGATGGTGGAAAAAAGTGATTGCGTATCGCTGTGCAAAATGCTGAGATATCTATCCCGAAGCCAAATTGAAAAAATTTTAAAAATAAAGGAAGATTTTGTTGTTCAGTGTACTGTTGCTTAAGAATTGAGTTGCTTTGGAAGAAAGTCTGATCTTATGTATCATACAGCTTAGTGTTGAAAGTTCAGTAGAGTTCAAAATATTTCATCTCTAGATTAGAGGACTGTTGCTTTATATTTGTATTCCAGTAATCAAAGAAGTTTTATGGTTCAGAGATGCACAACTTAATATGATTTCTACTTGCATCCGAGCATCTTGAAAATCATATTTCCATTTTTTTTGATTCCTTTTCTTTTCATGTTAGCCTCCGATTACTTTGAAATTATACTGAATCAATAATGCAAATTAAGTTTTACGTGCACTGAATTGTGGAGAATTGATTTTGTGTGCTGTTGCTTATTTTTCATGCAATACAGGTTTTAAAACTTCAATGCAGAGGGAATGGCCACTGAAACAACTATTGGATAGGGTACAAATACTTTAATTTGTTTTCTCCATTTCTAACGATATTGACGGTTTCGTTTATGCATAAAAATGGTGTCCAATGATATCTAGATAAGTGTAACAATACTTGAAAGTTCATTTATATCAAATATAGGACAAATTTTCAAAACAGACCCTTTTGGGTTTTTATTTGTAAAAAACGGCCTATTTCGAAAAAATTTACAAAAACCGACATGTTTTAAGCCCAGCGCTGAAAACAGGTCAGTTTTTGTTAAAAATTTTCCGAAACTTCACGGGAGCTCAATTCCCGTGAAGTTTAATGTATTTTTAAACTTCACGGGAGTTGAACTTCACGGGAGTTGAACTCCCGTGAAGTTTAGTTTATTCATAAATCTTTACGGGAGTTCAACTCCCGTGAAGATTTATGCCCACATGCAGCAACATTGCCAGACTGCTCTCTGTGAAGTTGAGACTGCAACTTCACGGGAGTTGAACTCCCGTGAAGTTGCAGTCTCAACTTCCCGAGAGCAGTGATTTCATATAAAAATCTAGATTTTAGAATTTAATTGTGAATTATTTATGAATTTTGTGAAGAAATGTGAAAATTAGAGGGGAAATTATCAATAAATGTGAAAATTAGTGGGAAAATTATCAATAGTTTTGTGAAATTTGTGAAGAATTAGTGTGGAAATTATCAATAATTTTGTGGAATTAGTGTGGAAATTTCAAAATTATTTACGAATTTTGTGAAGAAATGTGAAAATTAGAGGGGAAATTATCAATAATTTTGTGAAATTTGTGAAGAATTAGTGTGGAAATTATCAATAATTTTGTGGAATTAGTGTGGAAATTATCAATAATTTTGAGAAATTAGAGGGAAAATTATCAATTAATGCGAAAAATAGTGTTACTACATATATATGACATAAATTAGATTTTAGAATTTAATTGTGAATTATTTACGAATGACAAATTTTTGCATTTAGAATTTAATTGTGGATTATTTACGAATTTTGTGAAGAAAAATTAAATAATTTTGTGCATTTAGAGGTGAAATTATGAATTAATGTGGAAATTAGAGTTACTATCTAAATGCAAACGGTTCTGTATGATGACTACGAACGCGTCTGAGAGCTTCAATGGCGTGCTCAGGGGAGCACGCAGCATGCCAATACAAGCACTAGTTGCTAAAACTTTTTACAGGCTTAATAAATTCTTTCTCCGACGTCGAGAACTTGGTGAAAATATGCGCTCAGAGCTAACACCAAAGGTTGATGAAATGCTAGCGGCTCGGATTGTACAAGCTCGGTCCTTTCAGGTCGTACGATACAGTTTTAATGAATGGGAGGTTATCGAGGGAATAACCCATAGAGAAAGTCGCTCTTACAAAGTCAATATGTTGGTGGATCACACTAGTACATGCACTTGCAATGTACCGCAACTACAATGTATTCCTTGTTCACATGTTGTAGCAGTTTGCTCCGATCTACAGGGTGGTGCTCGAATTTCACATTATGAATTTGTCGCGGCTTGGTATTCTACATACAACTATCAACAAACGTACAAAGAGTGTTTTCGTCCACCGTACGATAGTCGACATTGGACACAAGACGGGCCTCGGATATTACCTCCCTTGTATAAAAGATCGGAGGGGTGCACTCGTATCGTGCTTATTAGAAATAGTATGGATGATGGACGTGAAGGAGCTAGGAGGAGAAATAAGTGCAGTAGATGTGATCAGCCGGGTCACAACAAAAATAGGTGTCTAGTTAGTATTAGGCGTTGATTTGTATTATGTAGCGTTTTGCATTATGTCAGATCCTGTATGACATTCGTATGATACTCGTATTCGTATTTGTAATATGTTCTGTATGACTTGCGTATTCGTATTTGTAATATGTTCTGTATGACTTGCGTAATCGTATTTGTAATATGTTCCCAATTAGGCTGTGTTCATTTCATCCATGCATTTGTATGACTTACGTATTTGTATTTGTAATATGTTCTCGATCAGGTTGTATTTGTATATATGCTCATATTTTAATCACAGGTCTTTTCATTATGGATCCGGGACCGATAAATGCCGACGTTTTGTATCTTCAGGTGAGTCATTGTTCAGACCATATTGGTTCGGGATAGGTAATACGATTAAATTTTATATATATTTCTTCGATTTATTAAATTATGCATATACTTAAACGTTTTTTGTTTTATGTGCAGCCCGTAGCAGACATCACGATGGTCGAGCATTCCCAGAGTCATTCGCTTGGGTCATTGAGGATGAGAGGGTACTAGAGCTGATCGCTCAGGCCGGATTTCGGGAGTGTTCGATGATTCGATATATTAGGCTTGATTGGCCAATCATCACTGCACTTATTGAGAGGTGGAGGCCAGAGACCAACACCTTTCACATGCATATAGGGGAGTGCACCATCAACTTACAGGACGTGACCGTCATACTTGGACTCCGGATCGATGGACCGGCAGTTAAGGGCACCGATGATCATAGTTGGCCGGAGGTATGTGCTAGGCTTCTTGGTCAGGTTCCCGACTTGAGGAGTGGTGCGATGAAGCTATTGTGGCTTCGTCAGACATTTCAGAGCAATATACCAGAGGATGCCCCTATTGAGACGCTCTAGTTTCATGCTCGTGCGTACATATTGCACATGATAGGATGCGTACTATTTCCTGATGGGAGCAAGACACTCGTACATGCACGATGGCTAACACTCCTGGAGGATTTCGATGTATGCGGCGCACTATCGTGGGGCAGTACGGTGTTGGCATACTTGTATCGAGAATTGGGTAGGGTATCCCTGATGCAGAATAAAGAATTCAAGGGATATTGTACATTGATACAGATTTGGTCATGGGAGTGCATTCATATTGGACGACCCACTTTACTTATGCACCGTGACCTGGAGGGGCAGTATCCTTTAGCATACAGGTATATAATTGTACACACATATTTCATTCGTAATGAATGTGTACTTATATATTCGCTATTCTGCATATAGGTATAACGTGCGATACGCTCAGTACAGATCAGCGACGCGTCACCGTCAGTTTTACCGAAATGAGTTTGATGTCCTCCAACACGAACATGTAAATATAAAACTCGAGAAGTATGAATATTATAGTTTTTCTGTATGATACTGATAAATGTTTTATTTTATTTCAGTTCAAGTGGAGACCCTATACACCACCGGAGCTCGATATGCATTCTCTTGCACCTATCTGCCGAGATAGTCCCGACTTGTGGAGAGCCAGAGTTTCATTGATTTGTTGGGAGATCGTGGAGATGCATGTCCCGGACCATGTGTTACGACAATTTACGCTCTCTCAGCATATTCCAGATCCTGTCGAGCAGATCGATCGTCGGTGGCGCCCTACATCGCACCGTACTGACTGGGCCGTAGTCCGTGCTGCCTATATAGACAGGTGGGTTCACAGGTGGGATTTCATACATGATACGAGGCCCACAGCTGTTGACTATACCGCGTATATGTGTTGGTATTGGGATATCACAAGTAGATGGATCACGCGTGACCCACAGCTGTCAGGTGGACACATGCCACGACCACCGACAGATAGTTACATCCCTAGTGGGATTAACGAGAGAGATTATGTAAGTTTCTAAGTTAAATTATAACATTTTTTTATTGAGTTGGTACTTAATAAATTGTTTACCTCACAGGTTCGTGCTTTTGATAACATTGAGGCTGATATTGATGCCACCGTGCCTGAGATTCAGGATTCGACGGCGTTAGGACTCCTCAGCAGGATTAAGAAGACCATAGCGCAGGTGTTTCATAAGACTCACGTCGACGAGTTCGCAGACCGTGAGGACAGGTCTCGCTCATTTGGACAGGCGTACGCTCGACGTCGACGGCCACGTGATGATGACACCGGCACTTCGCATGCCGATGGAGACCGGCACTTTGGCAGCGTCATACACATGCTGGATACAACAGAAGTTGAGGCTCATGCAGCCAGGAACCTCAGGAACGGGGAAGAGCGAGGGGGAGGGGGAAGAGAGGGAGAGGAAGGAGGGGAGCTATATTGGGTTGTATTTGAACTTATTTTGTTAAAATTTGTAACTTTCCTGAATTTTCATATACTAAACTTTTGAAGATCAATTATTGTTCATATATATAATCGTGCATGTTTAATTCATGGTTGAATCATGTATATATTGTTGTGATTGTTGTTTGCAAATAAATTGGTGTGTATATGAGTTAATATATATGAGTTAACAGGTACGTATACAAAACATGCACAACAGGCTGTGTATGTTAAGTATAACCTGCAACTTCACGGGAGTTCAACTCCCGTGAAGTTGCAGTCTCAACTTCACAGAGAGCAGTCTGACGATGTTGCTGCATGTGGGCATAAATCTTCACGGGAGTTGAACTCCCGTGAAGATTTATGAAGAAACTAAACTTCACGGGAGTTCAACTCCCGTGAAGTTTAATGTAGTTTTAAACCTCACGGGAGTTGAACTCCCGTGAAGTTTCGAAAAAATTTTAACAAAAACCGACATGTTTTCAGCGCTGGGCTGAAAACAGGTCGGTTTTTGTAAAATTTTTCGAAATAGGTTGTTTTTTGCAAATAAAAACCCAAAAGGTTCTGTTTTAAAAATTTGTCCTTGGTACCAATCGTGCTTTTGGAGTCTCATGTGACTAAAAATTTGTCATTGGTACCAATCATGCTTTTGGAGTCTCATGTGACTGTGGAAGGCCTACTAGATTTGGAATACCTACTAGAATGAAAATTTATAGAACAGTTATAAGACAAAGAATGTTCTATGAATTATCATGTATGGAATGCCTACTAGATTGGGGAAAATTTATAGGACGGTTACGAGACAAAGAATGTTCTATAAATTACAACATTAGGGAGGGAAAAAAAAGATGTGCAAAAATGAGTACCAAAAATGAGAATGTTACATGGTCTTATAGGATAAAAATGCACACAAGCATGGAAATTTAGATGTTCAAACGTGAGGATAAAATAAAAGAGAAACCATGAAAATGGTGCAGTCATGTACAATGGAAGCCTCTAGATATATCGATAAGAAAAAAAAACAATATAATTACAGTTAATGGAGCAAAGAGAACTGGTGTTCGACCTAAGTATTAAGAAAGATGTGCTAATAATTAGCTTAACAAAGGATTCGTATTGCACAGTCTTTTGGTTTATCAATAAACAGGTAGCCAGAAGAAATGGCTGTTCTCAAAAAGTTTGGAGTAAGAATCAACACAAGTACTGCAAACCAAGAGCTGGTTCAGGAACAAATTCGCTAATTACCGCATCACTTTCACGGCCATCATTCATTTACGTATTCACCAAATAGTAGAAGATGAATGACGGTTGCCATCTCCACAGCCAGTATGAATATTCCTAGCCACAGAAGCATATTTGACCTACTAGTTGCACTTTGATACCCATAAGTTCGACTTGGGATCCTCTCCTCATCCTAATATCTCCTCATGAGGAGAGTGAAGAGTTGGGAGGGGGCCCCACACGGATGGGTGGCAAAATAAAAGGCAATGATCAAAATGAAAGGTCAGGATCTCCTCATGAGGAGATATATAAGAACTTTTCATGAGGAGAGGATCCCAGTCCCACAAGTTCACATCCTTCACAATCATAAATATTAAAAGAAGCTTAGAATTTTCTCCAGGACTATATACACTTTGGTACCCATAAGTTACATTTTTTATAACACCCCAAAGTTCACACATTTTAACTTTGATACCCCAAACATGGGGCTTATTAAAGTGTCAAAAACAAAACTTTGGGATATCAAAGTTCAATTTAAAAAGGTGCAACTTTGAGGTATCAAAATTAAAATGGTGTAAGCTGCGTACCAAAGTGCAAGTAATTACATAGGTCCATACCTTGCAACTGTTTCAAGAAGATAGCATAAAATCTATACATGAAGTTGAGATTAAAACGATGGAGAAATATATTGAGAAGTAAAGATCCACAGAAGATCGTGACAATTTGCTGACTTGCATTATTTCTTTCCTCTCTTTTCTATTATGCAAATACACAGCATAAACACAACAGGGCGAACCCACATGCTACAAAGTCTGATTTTAAATAATAACAGGCTACTTCTGGATGAAACTTTAGTTAGTTGGCTCCAGAGAGCAAATTCTTTCCCAGCATGAAGCGCATAGAGAAAGAACTGCTGTTCTGACAAGCACCTCGAGTCACTTTGTCGATTACTCGATTTTTACCAATTCTATTTTCCTCCAAATCCTTTTGCTCAATTAGAACCGGTCTACACCATATCCTGGTGAAAAAATGAGAAGAAAACAAAACTGAAGTTAATAGTGGTATAAATTTAACTTGCACACTTATTTATATAACTCAGTCCAGCAGTTTCCACGGAAAAGGAGTTGTTATCAAACATCAATACAAAAATGCTCCATGGAGAGAGAGAATACAGTTTTTCTATACTAGCAGATTACCTAATGTCAATTCTTTGACTTAGTGTCAACTGCCTGTCAAGACAAATTATGAGCATAGGGAGGGGCTTGTGGGAAACATTAGTATCACATGCCTGTATGAAACAGGACAGGGCCTGATTATTTGAGGAAGAAGAAAATTAGAAAAAAGAGGCAACAAGAAGAGAAAGATCACCTTGGCTTAAAAGATCAGGGTGCTGGTCTTTATCAGTAGCAGGCGTTTCATCAGAGATGCCAGCATCTTTCAGGGTTTCAGATGGCACTGGTGATGGTTTCAAGTCTTCTGTCGGCATTTGCGACATCTCCAGTTTTTCTGAGTCAATCTTGAGAGTTTCTAATGGCATAGACAATGGTTGCATGATTTGGGTAGTTGTCAGATCTTTCACTGGTGATACATATGATTTTTTTGAGTCATTTATCATTATTGCAAAAGGGCTTTTTAATGACCCCATATTTTGAAATCCAGCTTCCAAGTTTCTTGATGAATGTAATTGTGGCTCCACATTCTCTGATGCCTGCGAAAAACAAAAAGAATAATAATTCAGACCTAAGGATCTGGCTAGAAATGCAGTCTAATGTCGTCGTCAAAGCATACTAATAATACGGAGTTACAGATGTGACAGCAAATGAAGTCACAAGTACAAATTACCCATCTGAAGCCATAACCTTGAATTGGAAGAACATGAAAATCCCTGCAGTCCGTTATTAATCCATTGTTTATTCAGTATTTATGATCTACAAGCTTAATCCAACATGCATCTACTTTGTTTTTGAAATGCCAAGCAATTTATTTTCAAGCAAGTCTAGTTAGAACTCTGCTCTAAGCCTGCCTTTATGCACCAAAAATCTAATTTAACCTATATTACGTTGTTGGAGTTCAATCGAGGAGAGAGTTTCTGGGCTCATTGTTAGTGTTTGTAGTTCTTCATGGCAGTAAGGATGAGAAAGAGCCATTTCTGAGAGAGGTTTTTATGAATGGAGAACTATTTTGCCTGCCTGCTCGTGGAACTATGGCACCTTAGGTATTAAATGCTAGGCTTTTAGCTTGATTTTGTCTTTGCTCTACAGTATAGCTAAAGATTGTATGGGGTTGATACTAACATAGACATCAGCCTTGTGGGCTGGAAGAGAGGAAGAAAAATGAGTTGCCGTATTGGAACAATACACTCTGTTACTTCCTGTTTGCATGCTATTAGTTTGGTTCTTCCCTTACCGCCTTGAGTGATGAAAGCATTGCAGTATTATGTTGCGAACTCATCCAAAAGGATATCATTAACACTGGAAGCAGGCACTTAATAAGGTTATCTAAAGTAAATGATGCGTCAAGGTTATCTAAAGTAAATGATGCGTCTATCACAAATTTTAATGTCAACAGGCTTCTGGGGCAAAATTACTGGGGATAAGCGGTTAGAAGGCATTTTAAAAGGGCATGACCTTTTGGATTAAGGAAACTCCGCTTCAACCTTCAATTTGTGTGAGATATCAGATCCTATACTACTGTTGGAAACTGATTCACCCTTGGCTGCAATTAAAAGTAGGGGTAGAACAGTTGAATTGCGCTGACAACCCATTGAAGTAAATTTGCATGCTGACTCACCTGATAACTAGCTTCTTGGGTGCAAAAGCCCACAGACAGAGACAGATAAGCAGATTCACCTGGATCTGCACGACTCTAAAGGTGCAACCCTCAGTAGTATCCTGGGAAAAGCTTAATAAGTTTCTGTTTCATGCCATTTCTGTACCAAATTTCCTTCAAGCTTGAATGGATGCAAGACACCCCTAACAACAGCCAATAATGACCGGGTGGAACTTTCCGGCAGCAAAAAGTAGCAACTAAATTATCAGTATGAGTTAGTTGGTGAGCAGCTATCGACACATGAAAGACGAGGGGAAACAACAGACTGGTTCCAAAGCCACAAAAGTGAGGATAACAACAGATGATCAAGTTCCACATGGCTGTAGGTTTGAGACAGTAAATCACAGTAGTCGCACAATATATGCAAAATCTCTCGAATAATATATATTGCTAGAAGAAGGTCAGCATATCTACTAGCAATGAGCAGTACTATGATCATGTGTTTCTTCCATTTCTTCTCATTTAGTAGGTGACAACGAAATACTACCATGATCAGAAAGTGAGTGCAAAGTTATGCAAACTAACCATATTTGGGAGATGAGGACCAGCAGTAGTAGTTGACTTGGTCAAACCCATGACGAGAATATCCGTGGATGACGCTTTTGATGCTGATCCCTTTGCATAAGTAGCAGTAATTTGCTCCTGGCCTGAGGTTTTAGTTTCCTGAGGGATGACTCGTGGAGTGTTTGATAAAGGTTGGTGCTCACTCAGTTTAATTCCTTCATAGCCTTTTCGCATCCTTCTCCTGATACCATCAAAGTAAAGAAAAATCTCATCACTGATTCCACATAGGGGAGAATGCGAAGGAGAACAATCTTACTTTTTTGGGTAATTGCGACCATCCTGATAAGGAAGTGCTGTGGAGGAGAACACCACTCCACGAAACAATTTACCATCGATGATTGTTTCTATTGAATATCCATGTTGATTTTCTTCTGTAATTGTCGCTTCGAATGGAACCTTTAAAGCTGAACTGGAATCACCTGATATAGGACTTGCACTAAGATTACTTTCATCTGTGCAACAGCACCATTTAACAGGACAATCATATGGTATTTCATAAATCCATAGAATACATGAACTATGAAGTACTAGTTTACCAATACATTAGCATGACGGACATAGGACGTGCACTAAGATTACTTTCATCTATACAACAAGATGTTTTAACAGGATAATAATACGGTACTCCAAAAATCCATAGAATATATTAGACTGTTTAAGCACTTTTCTTCTTAGAAGTGATAAGATATAATATATCCTAGATTACTATGACATGCTATAAGAACTGCCACAAGTGTGATGAATATCATGGTGCAATCTTCCACAGGAACTCTGAAAGATCAAGATGAGATGCTCCTAAAGGTAATTAGTTTTAGACTTTTAGTATAAAAATATAAAACCCTTGACAATATTAGTCAATAGAATCATAACAGAAATTAATAAGTATTATCATCATTTTGAAATAAAATTGCACTTTACCAAGCATTTTACAATATACAAGTCATACTTGTCTGTGTTTGCAGAGGTGTGAAAGGGGATGGATCAGACTTCAGCCCCTGCATGTTGACATTATTGTTTTTCTCTGGTTCTTTGGCTGGAAGATTATTTTCAGGACACATGTTGAATACTCTCCTACCAGAGGACTTATCTTGCATTTGTTCAGTTAAACCATTTTCCCGCTTCATACCTAGTAACATTCAGCCACCTTAGAGAACAATTATAAGTTGTTAACATATCTAAAACCCACTGCACATCAAGTAATGAAAAGTTTTCTACAGGAAGAATAAGAATGTGCATACATGAATGTTAGATAGAAGAAAATATGAATCATATTAGGTACATTCTACTAAAGACAATCAGACAGTTCAAGAGGTGATTCCATACTTGTGTGCAAATAGTACATATCATCTAGGGCCTCGAGATGTCTATTGCATCCACCTATGAATGCAATAATGCCACTTTGCTCATCCAAACAGTCACCAGCTACTGAAAATCGAGCTGATGGCCCTTTATTTGTAGTGACGACTCTGCTCCAAGTACTAGTACCTGTGCATAGTCAAAAATTATTTACAGAGTTCCATGTCTAAATACCAGATTTGGCTGTAATTAACTTTTCAAACCATGAAATAATAAGCAATAAAAACATAATTGTGTGGAGAAATTATAAGCCATGACGAAAATCACTTGATCAATCTTCCCGTATAATATGGGAGGCTGTGTAGTCATGAACTCCCTTCGCGCATTATCTACACATACATTCAAAACAAAATTCCAGTTTACACTTCAAGAGTAAATCAGAGGGAAGTGGGGGATTAAGGATGTTCAAACATATCCAAACAGTAAGAAAACAGTGACTTCTGGACACACTGCAATCAAATCTGTAGTTAGAGTCTGATGCTAAGCAGAGAACCACTAGTTGTGCTCACTGCTTTAGAATATTCTAATATCAACATTCAAATATTGTTTTGAACCAATGCCAAATACATATAAGGTCATGGATGGATACAGCCCCATGGCATGGCTATGCTGACATCCCTAAGATGAGATACAAATAACAAACAGAAATCATTACCCACCAATGCTGTTATTGTCTTTGTGAGGAACTCAATGTGAACACAAGCTCACAAAGAACAGAGCCAATGACTCAGGTTCGTCAGAGATATATATTAAAAAATATATATTATATATATATTAGAGAGAGAAATGGGTATGCTTGGTACCAAGCACAAATTTTGTGCTTGGTAGTGAAGTGGCATATTATCCTTCACTCATTCAAATAGAGGGATCACATTCACATGGGTTGAATGTGGTCCCCCCATTTGAATGAGTGGATGGGAATGAAACACCTCACTACCAAGCACAAAATTTGTGCTTGGTACCAAGCATACTCATTTTTCTCTCACACACACACACAAAAATTAAGTATAAGCTCTGGATTAATCATGCAAGCCAAGAAGTTCTTCCTTTCCAGGTTGTAGAAGAAATTGGGGTTGGTTGGCAAATATCAAGAAACGTTTTAGTGTATAAGCTCTGGATTAATCATATACACACTCTAAAATTAAGTATAAGCTCTGGATTAATCATGCAAGCCAAGAAGTTCTTCCTTCCCAGGTTGTAGAAGAAATTGGGGTTGGTTGGCAAATATCAAGAAACGGACCTTTTCACATAAAGTAAAAAAAAAGTTCATTCAATTAAAGTGCACAAAAGATACTTTAACAGTATTAACTACAGAATAATCAATTGCAGAAATTGTAAACTGGGACCAATAATGTATTAATATTGACAAATACATATATTTGTTATGTGTCTGCATAAATCATGGAACTATTCAATTTAAGTAATATGAACTGGATTACCCAACATCATTGTTTTAAATATCCCTGATATAGCCAATATTATCGACTGATATATCCTTTTATAAGGCTTGCCGCGAATGATGTGGTCTCAATATCTTATACTGCTTTTTGGCAATTTTTCGGTGATAGATTCCCAACATGGCCAATATATCAGTCAATATGTTGGCTGATGTCCTTTTATATGGCTTGTCACAAAACAATATAGTTTGCAAAAAAAAAAAAAAAAATTAATGTTTTTAGCAAAAAATAGTCCTATGAAATTTTAATTAAAATTCTAGTAGGTCATTTTCCCTAATAGGTTACTTTCCCTAAGTTTCTACAATTGGATAGTGATCATAAACATATATTATTTACATTTTTTGTTAAGTGAGATTTTATTAAGTATTTTTAGATCACAATTTAGGACATTATGTTATATATACATATCATCCAATATGGCACTTTGATACTTTTCCTAATATCCGCAATCTGATATGGATTATCTGTCTGCTATATTCCCGATATCTTCTATCGAAAACCTTGCCCAACATCCAAAGCAAAAAAAAAATCAGAAATCTGAAGAACACAAATTCACTAGGGATAATGCAGGGTGCAAAGAACTTCAATAACTAAAAACGAAATTCTGATCAAAATCTAATTTAGTATAATAGTTTACCAACCAAAACTGTTTGTTATAGATCCATATGAAATACGGATATAACTACAATTAGCCATTCATATGCGTATCTGCATCTAAGGTTTAGATTAGTCCATCGATAATCTGATAACAACACATATACTATAATATGTACACGTGCAAATTAGAAATTCGTTAATCATTGCATATCAAAACATCATCATCAATTAAAATTTAATTTTGCTTTTGGTGCGAAAATTTTCCAAATTAAAGGACTTTTCCAACTTTTTCAGTCTAATTCAATAATATACCAATCAACGTCCATATTTGATCTGTTCCACATCATTATTACCTTATGTTACATAGGTACTTCTATCTTGAAGAAGTATCCATACGCAACCCGTACCCATACCCAAACTCCTTGGACACGCTTGGCATATATGCATACATTTATTCAGGCATGTACCCAGTTAAACAATATATATTTTAACTTAGAACATTTTTCAAACATTTCTTGGACATAAATCCTTTGCTTCACATTCACTTCTTAAAACTCGTAGGGATCCAAACTATGATTTTAATGGTCGTTTGAGTGTAGTTCAAAAAACGAGCATTTTCACAATTTATAATCGACATAATAAAAAAATCATAAAAAAGTTATAAGAATTTTAATTCTCGTAACATGTGAATAAAAAAATATTGATCTCATATAAATTATTAATTTCAGAATATAATATGTGTGTATATAAATATTTATATAGTCGTGTCTCAGGCTCTCAGCACCCTACTTTTTGCAAATTTGCCATATCATTTGTCCATACCTGTACCTGTACCCATGCAACATAGTTCTCACCATATGTGAAAGTTTATCACCATATGTGAAACAGTGAAAGTTTAGTACAACGATTGAAATGCAAGCAATACTCATATCTATTAGGTAAGAGATCACACAAATAAGGTGATAACTATATCTACAATTAGCATAAATAAAACTATTAGCAAGTTTTTAAATATCGGCCGACATGTCCGACATGTCGGCCGACATATCGGTTTGAGGGCTTGACCGACACGACATGGACGTTTTCAACTCGTATATCGGTTTTCAGGGCCAAATCGAAAATATCAGGGTCATATCAGGCATATCGTGACGTTTTCAACTCGTATATCGGTTTTCAGGGCCAAATCGAAAATATCAGGGTCATATCAGGCATATCGGACTATTTTTTAGCTTTGAATATTCGACCGATATGGTACTTTTTTTTAAGATCTGTTTTTTGTTATCGGGTTTGGGTTTAGTGATAAATACCCAAACCCGTTTGACTCGTTCTCATGTTTAAGGGTTTCTTATGAACCCGATAGAAAGAATTTATGAACCCAAATTCATATATTATTTACTTTTTATATGTTTAGTCTATAGAATTTATAAAGTATGCTTATATTGAATTTATGAATGCTTAGATTACATTTAGGTCATGATATTATACAAATGCGCACTACCCGATATGGTAATCCGATATTTAGTCAATGTCCCCCGATATATCCCTGATTTCCGCTATCCGATATGGATTTCAGCCATCCGACATGAACCCGACATCCGATATTTAAAACCTTGACTATTAGTTTGCAAATTCATACAGAAGGTTCCTAAAATAATTATTCCTCTGAACACTTTCTGGAAAGTCAGGTTACTTTAGGGATGACAATTTGAAGTAATATCTAGTAGATAGATAAGGATTGATGGTGTTAGTGCTTGCAATCCAGAAAATTTCAGCAATAATAAATTTTCGATTTATAAAACAATTGACGAACTCTGAGATTTAAATCAAAGAGGTATCTTTTATAGGATCAAGGTGTGGACTTACGGTTAAGAAACCTATATCTGAAATCCTAATGGTTTTAAGGGGGAAGATAACATCTGTACTTGGTCTAAATTAGCCCAATAATTGGTTTAAACTGGAGAGAAGTAAAAAAAAGAGTGAAGACTAGAAAAGAAAATATACTATCAAAAGATGAAGAGAAGAAAGACGAACCTGAAAACACATGTTATTAGACCGCCCCCTTTCGTTGGTTAAAATGTAATCCTAAACAACAAACACATGGTTTTCTAGACCCCCTCACTTATACAATGACTAAAATACCCTTAAGAAACTTATAGGTCTTTCAAGACACAGTCGTTTGATGACTCTTAAACCAAACATCCTCAGTCAACAATCCGATCAATCAAAAGCATAAATACTGTACTTTTTTTCTTCTTTTGGAAGGGAAGCGAAAGAGGGTGCTATGTGGTAACGGGGCACAATCATATGCAAACATCAATATGATATTTGGAAAAGGAAATAATGAAGACGAAGAAACAATTTACTATGTTTATTTCCCTCATTCACTACTATAGCTAGAAATTCAATTTAGGCGGTGTGAGAAATCAACACCCACATAGAGAGCTAAGTACTACACCAGCATAAGTAGGTTTGCTCTCCCTTCAAAAAAAAAGTCATATGCCACATCTAGAGGCCAACATATTTTGGGGATAGTGGGGTTATCTAACCCTTAAACATTGGTTCCTAAACTTTTCCCCTCCCATAATCTCAATCATAAACAACCACATGTGATGACTAATTGAATGATTGCTTGATTACTTAATATTCAAAGAGAGATCTCTCTTAAAAGTAAGAGATATCTTTGATAGCATAAACAATGAGAAAATCATACAACATTATCAAAATATGAAATGCGGAGGGAAGGGAACAATTGTAATAAAATTTAATAAGGTACTTCTATTGCCTATACTTTTTGTTTCTATATGTATGTATGTATGTATGTGTATGTGTGTGTGTGTGTGTATATATATATATATACGGTATCATTAATATTTAGCTAAAAATATCATATACTTGTGGTCTTGCTTCAGTGATCAAAGATTCTGGATCTAACCTAGCCATAACCAAAGTATTGTCCTAAGTTAACACAAAGTCGTAGAAGTAATAGGGATCTATTATGGCGACTCAAGTAATTTAGAAAATTAAAAAAAAAAGTAGAAAAGAAGATATGTCACTATCAAAAAGATAAGATAGTGA